TTATTTATTTGGTATAAGGTCTCACTACACAGCTCGGATTTGTAATGATCCACATGGTATGCAGTACCTGGAATTAAACCCGGGTCCTTGCACTTGCTAGGCAGGCACTTAGACTACCAAGCTATCTCCTCAGTCCTGTGATGGATCTAAACCTATTACAAACACATAGATTTCAAAGCAATAAAACTTGACGAATTTTACAAAGTAAAGAGCAATGTAATCCAGGGGTTCCATTATCATTTCATTCATTATTTTTCCATAGTTTTCTTCAGCTTTGTTCTTTTGCTTTTGTTTTGGAGGTAGAGTTTTGCTATGCACTCTAGGGTAGACTTGAACTTATTATAGAACACAGGCTGGACTAAAACTCAGCACACCCTGCCTCAGCGTCCACAGTGCTGGTTTTATAGGAGTGTGCCACCATGGCCAGCCCGAACTTTGAATTTAACAGACTCTTGTTGGATAATTTTATAATATCTTATACAGTAACAAATCAAAAGTTTTCTATAAACTTTATAATTCACGAGGGAGTGGGAAACTAGAAATTCACTGTAGGTGATGCCAAGACACACTACTACTATGCACGACCAGGCAAATTAATAAATACAGTTGGTAGTTACCCAAGTGCTGTATAACAAAGGTATTCCTCAGTTTGCACATTCTAATTTCACATTTGCCAATTAGCTTAAGATTCTGTACACTTAGATTAATTTATAATTGGTAAGACAGCAAATTAAACATTTTAAGTTTATATAGTGTGGAACATCATATATTATAGAACATCATTTTCTTAGAATTTTTTAAAAAAATACCATACTTTGGGCTGGTCAAATAGCTTAGCAGATTAAAGCACCTGAAAGCAGGTGTAGGAGCCGGGGCTTCAATCCCCAGGGCTGCTGTGCCATCCCCACCCCCAGGGTACACTGAGATGGCAGTTGAGATGGGGTGTGGTGGCATGCGCCTGTAATCGCAGCTCTTAGGAGGCTGTAAACAGGTGGATCACTACAAGTCCGATCTAGTAGTGAGACCCTGAACACCTGGTAGACCCTTCCCTAAAATACAAAAATAAAATAAAATAAAAACAACATACTTTGATTGGAGAAAGATGGAAAAATTTAGAAGATACAAAATAGAAGGACAAAATAAGGAAGTTAGAGGGCTCTACTAATTTGGAGGTAGCCTAAACAAAGCTTAGAAATTTCACTTATGATGAACAGCAAGCTATTTCTGCTGGAGTACATGAATGAAGGCTAAATTATCAAAAGCATAAGAACATATTCAAGTATAACAGGATGTAATTAGGATAGCACCCAAATATTTAGCATAGTGCTTGGTATTTTTTTTTAATCCAGCACTGGTCATAGCAGAGGTAGTTTCAGTTATAGGGTGAGCTATGAAGTTGATTCTAAATGCAGGAACAGAAAGTGTTTGGTCTATTTTGTATTTCTTGACAGTCTTGTAAGTTCACCTTAACACATTAAAATCTCCCAAGTGAACCTTTAAGGTTGCCTTATCACAGTTGTGTCAAATATCACGACAAGCAAAGCATGGCTCTCCTGTGCAATGTGAGCAGAAAGAGCAAATAGAAATAGCTAGCAAATATAGAAAAAGATTCTGGAGTTACAAAAGAGGAACTGTGCTCAATCTGTGATCTTATCACTCTTAAGTATGTGATTCTGAACCAGTGGGATTTTTCTGCTTTTTGAAATAATTAAGTTATTGCTACATTTTATTTATACATAATGATCATTTTTATGTTAGGGAATTTGTACCTGTATGTGATATATCTGGATTCATTTTTCCCCCATTCCCTACCCTTCCCTGCAACACCCCTTCCATTCTTATATTCAAAAGCTTTGTTTCTAAATTTATCTTAATATTTTCTTTTACCTTTTTTCATTTTTCCTTCTCCACCTCCTAGATACCTTTCCTGTTTGAATGATTCCTTTCATTTCACAATATGTATCATATATTTTGGTCCTTATTTACATTTTTGGTTTGTAATGCCAGAGAAACAATGTGAGATTTAAACATGTGTCTGATTTATTCCACTTAAGGGTATGACCTCAAGATTCACCCATTTACCTAGAAATGTCTCATGTTTATCCTTCTTTGTGGCTGACTAGTATACATCATACAAAAATATATGGACATTTGGCCTATAACAAAATTTAGCCAAGATTTAGATATTACAAAAAAGTGCTGTTATAAACATGGGTGTGTATATATATCACGGTGGTATGATGCTTTTAACGCTTTTAGGAAGATACCAAGAAGGGGAATAGCTGGGTCAAATGGAACCTCTGGTTTTAGTTTTCTTTCTTGGAACTAGGGATTGAACTCAGACCCTTTCACTTGCCAAGGAAGAGCTTGTTCCACTGAGCCATCTCCCTGGCCCCTGGTTTTAGTTTTCTGAGGAATCTTCACAATGGTTTCTATAGTGCTTGCCCCAGTCTACACTCTCACCAACAGTAGAGAAGGATCCTTATTCCCTTTCATCATTTTTTATTTGATTTCTTGCTAACAGCCATTCTTTCTGGAGTAAGATGGAATCTTACGTCTCACTGATGTTTTAGTTTGCATCTCTTAAATACCCAGTGATGTTGAACATTTTTTTCATATGTTTATTTGCTGTTTCTACTTCTTCATTTGAGAAATATGCATTCATTTCAGATCCCCAGTTTTTAATATTGGATTGAATTAGGTCTTTAATATTGTGGGGTGTTACTTTTTTGAGTTCTGTATGTATTCTAGATAATAGCCCTTTTTTTTTTTTTTTTTTTTTTTTTTTTTTTTTTTTTTTTTTGAGGAACAGCTGCCAAAATATTTTCGCTACCATGCCGGTTGTTCTTCACCCTGTTATTTTATTTTTGCTGTGCGAAAGATTTTAATAAGACAAAAATCTCAGTTGTTGATTCTCTGTAATATTTTCTATGTGATTAGGGTTTTGTTCATTAAGTCTTGAGTTCTACATATACTCTTACGTCCACCAGATTTACAGTTTCTGTTTTAATATCTAGAGTTTTGATCCATTTTGATTTTAGTTCAGTGCATGGTGACACAGGTGTAGTTTTAGTCTTCAGCATGTGGAAAGCCAGTTTTTCCAGCATCATCTATTGAAGCAGGTGAAGATCTCTGGCCCCTTTTTCAAAGATCAGGTAGTAACTCTTTTATTTTTAATTAATTTATTTATTGAATACAGGGTCTCACTACACAGTTCAGACTCTTAGTGATCCTCCTGTCTCAGTGTCCCCAGCACTGGGGGATCACAGGTGTGCACCACTACACCCAGTTTCAGGGCCAGCATGGCGTACCCAAGGTTCTGGGGCTAGTATGACATGTGGAACAGGGGATTGAACCAGGGTCCTTGTGCTTGCCACGCAGGCGCTTAGACCACTGAACTATCTCCCCAGCCCAGTATTAAATCTTTAATGTTCTGTGAAACTCATTTTTCTCATCTTTGTATTAGTGGCATTAATACATTCTGTAATCTATCATCAAGAAATATTAAAAAGCTCAAAAGATAAATTATTTTAGAATGATTTGAATATTACAGACGGATAATAAGTTTTAGCTAACTTCTGGCTTTTAAGTCAGCAGGAAATTACAAAATTATCCTTGAGGGTCCTAGTCAATTCAAAAGGGAAGTTCAGGAAAGCTGTGGAAAATAGTGAATGAAATGACTACTGGACCCTATCATTTTTCTGTTTTTGACACTGCAAAATTTGTGGTGTATTATTGTATTAAAATATATACATTTGTAATAGATTTAGATCCTTAGAAAATTATTTTTGAAAACCAGTGTTATCCCTTTTTCCATTGATTTTTTTTTTTTTTTTTGTGGAACTGGGGATTGAACTCAGGCCCTTGCGCTTGCCAGGGAAGCGCTTATTCCACTGAGCCATCTCCCTGGCCCTTTCCATTGATATTAAGATTTTATTAATGTATAACAAAATTTTAGAAAAAATTATTAGGAAACCACAATTTTTCTCCTCATAGATTATAGAATATAGTATAGCCATAATGTCTTAATGCAAAACTGTCTTAAGTAGTAATAAAAAGAACAAGTGGAAAGCAGGTGGCTAGTGAGCTACACTGTCTTGGCTAAAATAACCTAACAATATATTCTGGACCACAATTTCTCATTTGTTAAATAACAGAATGTGATCTCAGAATTTCTTCATGTCTCTAGATTTGTTAAAGTTTTTAATAAAATTCATTTTTTAATTTTTAAAATCTGAAAATACAGAGTGCTGGAGAAAGCATTTTGAAAACCTCTAGAACATAAGGTCAAAACTCTAGGGTATCAGATCATGTAAGAACAGGTTGATTTACTGTTAGTGTTTTAATTGACTCGGATATTTTCTGTGAAATTTTATTTCTTTCCATGAGAATAAGGTTTCTTCTCATTTTGAGTTTGACAAATGGATTAGAAGTATTAAATTTAGAGATTTGCAAATCTAAATTTTCCTTTATGAATTAAAATCTGTTGAATGGAATGGATTATGGATAACAACAAAAATATGTACATATTTAATAATTGAGATAGAAACACAAAATTAGATTATATTACTCTCCACTGAACCTTCCGAAAGAAGAATCACATTACCTGTCTTCCCTTAATACCCTTCTTTCCACGGATCCCAGGAATACCCTGGAATATAAAAAGTCACAAGTAAATATTTGTTGAACGAATATATTTGAATTTGTTGAGTTAGATACTATAAATCATTTCTTTTCAACTTAATAAAATATGCCAAAAGCAGAAATAACTTGCCTACAAACTACCGTGATATTTTGTAAAGCTTCAGTATACTCACTTACCAGAATCACTTACTTACCCTTTCCTTCTCCCAAACAGATCCCTAACTTTACTCAAAAATCCACCCCATCTATATTTCCAAATGAGATCCTGACATCTCCCGGGTGGTAGTTATCTGTCCAGAAGTAACCACATTAACAGTGGTGGCACAAACAAACAAGGTCACACTTTCATTCCTAAAAGCGGATGCCTTTCTTTCTGTCTGGATGTAAACAAAGTTAATGCAGCCTTTTACTGGCAATCTTGCAGTTCTATAGGAAACCAATTATGGGGTAAATCTAACACTAGGCAATGCAAGGCAGAGAGAAGGATGGCACTAATTCAATATTATCTTGCACCTATATCTCACCTAATCTATCTGCTCATGTAAGCGCTGTAAGGGCATAGTACTTAAACATCCAGGCTTGTGAGCCAGAATACCTGTGTCCTAAACCTGGCTCTCTCCTATAATCTGCTTATGGTTTATACTAGTTCTCTACATTTTTCTCATTTTTTTCATGCATAATGAGAATAACAGCCTATCTCATTTTGGAGGCATTCTGAAGGAGTTTATTTATAGAAAGTATTTATACAGTTTCTTGTATATACCGTAAACTATTACAAGCATTTTTATTTAAATTTACCTAGTTAAAAGCCAGTACTTTATACACTAGAGTAATCTAGAATTCCTTAAAGAATACTACTTTATATAATCACTTCAAGATTTATAGTTACTCATATACTTCAGAGACTAAGAGATCTATCAGAGCTGGGCATGCTGGTGCACACCTGGAGTCCCAGATAGAGGCTGAGGTTGAAAGGCTTCTTGAATCCCTGTGTTCAAAGCCAGCCTGGGTAATATAGACTCCACATCAGAGAAAAAAGTAATGGAAAAAGAAAAACTACCAGAACAATGTTCAGACAGACTGAGCTAAAAATTAGATATTGAAGAAGATATCATTGGTTAAAATAATCCATTCAGTTTAACATCAATTATTTGAGAAATATTCATGTCTTTCTTATCAAAAGAGCTCATTGTGGACAGAAAGATTCATTTCATTGCGACTTTATGCATCATTACATCACTACATAACAAACCAGCCTTTAATAAAATACTTATTTTCTCAAAGTTAGAAATTTTCCTAAATCATGGCAAGAAACCTAAAAGTTATATAGACAAAGTTATGTAAGATTTTTAACATATGTGTATATAATATATACATATTATTAATGCTCATGAATATATATGCATATGAATTTATGCACACATATATGTACACATATGTATGTCATGCACAATACTGATATAATGGATGTTTTTCTGTTTACAGGAATTTTTTTCTTTTCTGTACTTGCATGTTGTATAACGTAACAACCCCCAAGTAGTTCATTCATTCGTGGCCAATAATAGTATGTGATATGTACAATATCATGGAATTTTCTTATATATTTAAATGGGTCATTTTCATACAAACTGGTCAAAACTATGAAATGTGATTACAACACTATTCTTAAGGCGGCCAGTGTGAACACCGGAGCTTCTATGCCCCAATCCAAGACGACACTTTTGCAAGTATATACAATTTTGGCTTATTTATTAAAGTATTGATTAGAAATAAACTCAGATCAAAAGGATACAAGGAATTGTTTCATGAGCAGAAGAATAATCATGAATGTAAAGTAAGCGCGCTTCTTTGGGGCAAGAAGCAGCAATTTAATTCTTTGCATGACAGGATAGATCATCTGTTAATCTGCTATATCATATGAAGTTAAGTAACTCGCTAGTGGCATTATGCCAAAGAGAGTATTTGTTACTGAAAGAAATAAACTGTTTTATTCACCAAGGAAAATCTTTACCTCATATCACCAAAGATTGGGCATTTTGATCAGCATTACAGCACATTTAAATTCTGAATATCTCTGTGAGGGCATGCACAAGGACGCATAAGAAAATACTTACTCAGTCAATAACTTATATATTTGAAAAGTATAATTAGCAAAGAATAATCTGGTTCACTTTCATTTACTAAATTCACTTTCTGTATATGAGAAATTTTGGCTTGAACTATGTTATCATAATGTCACAAAAGTCTAACCTATGAATACAATTCTAATTTCACACTGTGACAACAGACGGATGCTATTTTTCTATCTCATATTTATTGAATATAAATAAAGGAGTAAAAATAGAAATCATTGAACTGCACATAACTGAAAACTAGATAGGAAGCTGCAACATCAGAACTCAATAGCTTGCTTAGACTTTTTAAATATAAGAAAGTATTTGCAAAGATTGTATCTTTAGTTTCCACATTTATGAGCAGGTATGTGCCATGGTTAAACAAAAAGGGTAGCCCTTGCAATTTCCAATTTCTTTAATGTAAAATACATGATCTATAATTTATATTCAAATTAAAGATCAAGAAATTACAAAATAAAATTTTCATAGACATTTTAATATTTCAGTATGACTTTTTAACTCAACTTAAAATATCTAACACATAAATTCATATCACTACTTTTTAAACAAAATTCAGTAAGATTAAGGCTACTTATATTTCTGGTGAGTGATTTTTCTTAAACCTGGTTTCTTCACTCAGTAAAAGTATATCCCTGATATTTGAGATTATGGCTGCGGCTCATGTATCATAAATAAAACACTTTAGAAGTATGTTTGAAGGACATTCACTTACTCTTTCTCCTTCAGGTCCCAATTGTCCTGCTTCTCCAGGAGAGCCAATGAACCCCTCAAATCAAGAAAATAATCTTTATATTATTTCATTTGAATATTTAAATAATAGTCACATGACATTCTAAATATTCATAAATAATTCTAAATATTAAGATTTATTTATAATAAGATGAAATTATGATGTATAATTTCTCTGTACCTTATTATTATTTTTATTTTTTTTGGTACCAGGAATTGAACTCAGGACCTCATGCTAGCCAGGCATGCTGCTGAATTATATCCCCAGATCAATCTTTTCATTTTAAGGAAAAAGCATGAAATATAATTTAAGATGGGGCAGCTGATAAAATTCAGTAAGACCACTCCTTTTCCTTCTTTCAATTTTATCATATGCAAAAATGCATGTATGGAATTAACTAAAATGTAAGGCAAAAGTGAGATATCAAAAGACAATAATTACAGAGGAAGAAAAGATTCATTCAGTATGGTAGGAAATCAAGGCAGTTGAGGAAGGTTTTAGGGGAGGGCTATCACTTCAGGCAGAGTAAGAGACAACGTAGAGTTTTTCTAAATGGTAACAGACAGGGAGTGCTTGGGAAAACCAAACACCTGTCTTGCCCTCAGGAAGATTTCAATCTGGTCTGAGAAACAAGGGATACAATTAAGTATCAAACCAAGGTACTTATTGGATCCTAATATATTTTAGTTATAGCTTACCTGTAGCAAATAATGTAGTTTATCAATTTTATAGATAAGGATATAGTAAGTTGTGGGCCAGAGATAAAAAGACTTTTACATTTCAGGCTAAGAATTTGAGTCTTTATATTTTAGATACATGGAATCTGTTGGCTTTCTGACAGTAGCACCATGCTCCGATATCAAGATGTATACAGTGTGATCAAAGTGTATAATAAATACTTAAAATGGATAATATTATTACAGCAAATGATGCACTGCCATTAATGCCTCTCAAAAATATTTCCCCTCATTTTGAACATACTTACCCTATTATTCTTGCCAACTTCTGAAACAGTTGTGGGTGTCTTTACAATGTATGATAAAAATATGGCGAAGCTGCTGCTGACTGCCACCCAACAGAAAGGCAGGCCCATAGAAATATTACCGCGTGTCCTCCACCCATCTCATTTACTGGACCTGGCGCTGTGTGATTTCTGGCTTTTCCCCAGAGTCAAAAAGGCAAACATTCTGAATAAAAGCATCCACACATTGTGCAAATAAAGACAGAAAAGAGGACTTTCAGAATTTCTTCAGAAAGTGGCAAGAATGATGGGGTATGCTCGAAATGAGCAAGGATATTTTGAGGATGGTTAATGGTAATCTGTCTTTCACTGAAATAAAATTTTTAAAGGGAAACATTGACTGTATTTTCTTATCACACTTTTCAAATATTAATCTGTTCATAGGATCTAGGATACATGAAAAACAGGAGATGTAGGTAAACCTGTTAGAAGGGTCTTGCTCTTACAATGGTCTAAGTTTGAAGGAATATGAGACAGGATCATTAATTCAACAGTAGTATCAATTCTATGTTGTAGTATCCCCTGGGCATCAGGTACTGGGATTATATTGATGGATGAGAAAACCATTGCCCTCAAGGAATGCAACTTCTTAGAAAAGAGGGTCGGTCATACAAATGAGCAATTGTAAAATCATTTGATGCTTGTGACATAATTATATAGTTAGTGATATGGTAAGTTCAAGACAGTGAGATTTGGAAACAGAATAAATAATTTTGCTCAGAGGAAAGACTGAAGTTTTGTTAATGAGGAGCTGAGTTATGAAGGGAAAGAAAGGCAAGACCAACGATGTCTGATCAATCAATTAATAGGAATAAAATAACTTGGTGCATAGAGAAACTTGCAATTATCTCTGTATGGTCATTGGGAGAAATGGCAGGTGCCATATCAGAATGGGTCGACATATTATGATAGAAAGTCTAGAATTTATATGGGGGTTCCTAAAGAAATTAGGCTGACTTTGGATATAACCAAATTTTCAGTTCATAAAATTAATTTGGAATCAACATTTTTCTGTGTCAGTTTATAAATATCAAAACAAAGATGACTAAAGTTTATGGCTGGGTTGACAGGAAAATGGTATGTACTGATAGAAATATGGAATCAAAATAGGATAGCCAGACTGGTGGAGAGTAAGTTTTGTTTGTCATTTTGTGTGTGGTCATGCTAGGAAATACAAATGTAGAAATACAAATACAAATCTCAGTACAGAATTGGTGATATTTCTACTGGACTCATAGAAATAGCCCTTTGAAAGATAAAAGAGTGGAAGGACAGATATGTCTGAAGTCTCCAAGGCAAATAATCTCTCTCTCTCTCTCTCTCTCTCTCTCTCTCTCTCTCTCTCTCTCTCTCTCTCTCATATATTTTTAGGGAAGGGTCTACAGGGTGTTCAGGGTCTCACTACTAGATTGGACTCATAGTGACCCACCTGTTTACAGCCTCCCAAGAGCTGGGATTACAGGCGTGCACCACCATGCTCAGTCTCAATTGTTGTCTCAGTGCGCCCTGGGGGCGGGGCTGACATGGGCTAGGGATTGAATCCCTGGCCCCTGTGCCTGCTTGCAGGTGCTTTAATCTGCTGAGCTGTTTGGCCAGCCCTAGGCAAATAATATCTCTGAATAAAAAGCAAAGAGAGAAACAATCACTGATCAGGGCTGGACAGATAACTCAGCAAAATAAAGTGCCTGCTTAGGCAGAGCGCATAGTTCGATCCTGGGCACTACAAGCCATATTGGCGCTGCCCTTGGGGTCTGCTGAGACAGACTGAGACTTAGCATGGTGGCGCGCCAGTAATTCCAGTACTTAGGAGTCTGAAAATGGGAGTATCACTACAAGTCCAATCCGTGTAGTGAGACCCTGTAGACACTGCACTAAATACATTTTAAAAATATCGTTGATCAGATGGAAGTTGAAATAAGGATGAGGGAGAATGATTCTGAAATATAGAAAAAAGAAAAGGCATAAAAGACTTTGAAGCAGAAGCAGAGATAGAGCAGGCCATTTTAACCAAGTTCTAAAGTGGGCCTGCTTATTTTGAATTAGTGAATTTTCAGAGTGAATACATACCTTTATGTTAGCAAACACTAATAACTCTGGCATTAAAAGATAAATATCATTTTCAAACCTAGCATTGTGTACAGTAGGCAAAACTGGAAGCCACCAATGTGCTCATGTAGATGAGCAGATGAATGCAGTACACGCAATGAAACACTGCTCACTCTTAGGAAAAAAGTTCTTCCACACTTCACAACATAGGTAAATCTTGATAACAATTATGCTAAAGTAAATAACCCAGTCAAAAGGACAAATACATTTTCACTTATGTCAGGAACTTTGAGTAGTCAAATTTATACAGACAAAAAGCAGAATGGCAAGTTCTTAGGATTGGGATTGGGGTGAGGGGAGTTGTATAATAGGTACAGATTTGGAAGATAAAAAAGATGGGGAGATAGCTTAATGGCATAAACAACTGGCTGGCAAGAGCATGGTCCCAAGTTCAATCCCAGGTACCAAAAAAAATGGTGGTGATCATTGCACAAAAATGTGAATGTACTTAAGTCCCTGATTGAACACATACATTGTAATACACACACAGAGAGAGAGAGAGAGAGAGAGAGAGAGAGAGAGAGAGAGAGAAAGGTAAATGTCTTGCAAATTCTAAATAGCTTGGAGTAAGAGCTTTAGTTGGGATTTAATTCCTTTTTTCCCCTTTTTTTGTATTTTAGGGAAGGGTCTACAGGGTGTTCAGGGTCTCACTACTAGATCGGACTCATAGTGATCTGCCTGTTTACAGCCTCCCAAGAGCTGGGCTGGGATTATAGGCGCGCATCACCATGCCCAGTCTCAATCGCTGTCTCAGGGCACCCTGGGGGTAGGATGGGCATGGCAGGCCCGGGGATCAAACCTCCTGCCCCGTGCCTACTTGCACACACTTTAATCTGCTGAGCTATTTGGCCAGTCCTTGGGATTTAATTCCTGATGATGAATGCTAGTAAGTGTCGTCATAGAAAGAGGAACAGCTTGCTTTCTTTTCTTTCTTTCTTTCTTTCTTTCTTTCTTTCTTTCTTTCTTTCTTTCTTTCTTTCTTTCTTTCTTTCTTTCTTTCCTTCTTGCTTTCTTTCTTTCTTTCTTTCTTTCTTTCTTTTTTAATGTATTTGGTATGGGGTCTACAGGGTCTCACTACACAGATCGGACTTGTAGTGATCCTCCTGTTTTCAGCCTCCCAAGCACTAGGATTACAGGTGCATACCACCACGCCCAGTCTCAGTCACCCCCTCAGTGTGCCCGGGTGCACGGATAGCAGGGCATGCCAGGGATTGAACCCCAGTCCCTGCATGTGCCTCAGCAGGCGCTTTAGTCTGCTGAGCTATCTTGCCAGCCTTCGTGCAACGGTTTTCTTCGATAAACAAAAACAGCTTATATTATACAGACTGGTTGAAGAAGCCAAAATTAAAAGAGAAACAGAGAGACTTAGTTTCTATTTAGTTTCAGTAAAATGAAATGTTTATAATTTGCCTACTTGAAAACCAAGCAGCTGGAGAACAGATAATATTTTGACTGAGAAGAATTCAAAAGGATTTTTAATAAGCAAAGCAATTTGGAGTACTAAAACAAGGCGTGTGCATTTTCATAAGCATAGTTTTCAGTTCATTTCAAATGTAAAAGTAGCTAACTTTTGTTTAATGTAGCTTTTATTTGGGTTATAAATCAAAGAAACAGATGCACTCTTATCAGTGAATTAAATAGGCAGCTGAGGACACAAGAACAGAAAGTCCTACCTCTACCCAGCACAGCTATACAGGGTTAAGTGAAATATTTTATAACTAAATATTTTAAAGGGAACAAGTTTATGTGAGAAGTAGGTGTTTCCTAAAGGGTTCTTGGTTAGCTCTGTGTTACTAGCCGGCATACTAGGATAGCGATGAGCGGCCTTGCACGAGTCTCCTGGTTGAGGTACTTGACACATGATTTCCCCAAGAAATGCCGGAGGAGGATTAAAAAATTATGGTCTCAATGTTTATATTTAGCACAGTAATTCTCTTCATACCACAAATGCAATCAAATAACTACCAGTCAAAAGATAATTTATCAGATGATTCGTAACAATATTCACATATTGTGCATAATGCCATACTATGCAGCAACAGGACACAACTTAAATATAAAAGTTTTATAATTTAGTGAATATGTTAATGCAATTATTGCTTTTTAAACCAGATTTGAAGTCAGTGTCAAATGTCACATTTGAGACCCCTTGTGAATGTGAAATGTGCTCTAAATGCCACTCAGAATCCCAAGGGAAAAGCTTCAAAATAAAAAAAGATATATAAAAGTAGAATTGTGTTTCTAATACATAAATTTCTATATAATTGATAATTAGCTTTTGTTATTTTGTAATAGTCTCTTAAATGATTTATAGACTTAAAAAACTACTCCTATGATTTTTAAAAAATATTTCCATGAATATGGTTGCTAACACCTGAAAGTACAGTATTAAAGGCCAGCTCAGGGCTGGCCCAATAGCTCAGTGGATTAAGGCACTTGCAAGCAGACCCAAGAGTTCAATTCCCAGGCGTGCTGTGCCAGCCTTGCCCCGGGGCATGCTGAGACGGTAATTGAGACCGGTCATGGTGGTGGGCACCTGTAGTCCCACCTCTTGGGAGGCTGTAAACAGGAGAATCACTATGAATCTGATCTAGTAGTGAGACCCTGAACACCCTGTAGATCCTTTCCTAAAATTAAAAAAAAAAAGGCTGTATAGCTCAAATTTTGTACACAAGTGATAAAACAACAGGAAAAATGTATATAATAAAATACAAAAATAGGGCCGGGGAGATGGCTCAGTAGGATAAGCGTTTCCCTGCTAAGAGCAAGGGCCTGAGTTCAATCCCTGCTTCTGCAAAAAATAAATAAATAAATAAATAAATAAATAAAATTAAAAAAATAAAAAAATAAAAAAAAGAAAGAAAGAAAGAAAAGAAAGGGCCCTCTACAAAAATAGAATCAAAAAAACTTAGAAAATTATATGACTCATTGAAGCAAGATGAGAAAATACAATGAGAATAAGCTAGCCATGATAGCGCCAAGTATATCTTACACACATATCTTAAAGTTATTTTATGTGCAAAGAAGCTCAAATTAAATAATACAGAATTATAGAATCTGGGTATTAAGAACATGCCACATTTCATGCATTATGTTTAATTAAGAATACAAGTCTCATTTAATCCTCATAATACCTGAATGATAAGTTTAATTATTAGCTTTTTATTAGAAAAATGAAGCACTGGGATAAATGATTATCTAAAGTCATAAAGCTAGAAAATGAAGGGATATTTAAAAGATAGCAGTCTATGTAACTTTACAGCCTATATTCTTGACCACTAATTTCTTCTTGCTCCCCAAAATCTAAGTAGATGTAAGATTTCAGCGTGATTTCTAAGAAACAGAAAATGCGTGACACCACAGCAGAGTGGAAAGATTGGAGCGCTAAGCTAGCTTGGTTCTGGTTCTAACCAGAAATGATTGCCACAGCTAACTTCCTTTAACTTGCTGTTTTCTCCTCTGCAAAATGGGACCTGTTCTACTTCACACGGTTGATGGCAACAGAAAGGAGAAACTACATATGAAGGCACTGAATATATTTAGGAATTTAAAAAAATTTGAAACATTATTGTGCATGCTATTTAAATCTTTTATGTTTTACTAATTTTTAAAAATTATTTTTGAGGGCCAGGGCTCAGCAGTCTAAGCACCTGGCTAGCAAGCCCAGGGACCTGGGTTAGATCCCTTGTACCACAAGCTGCACCAGCCTGCCCTGGGTATGCTAAGCCCACTACCAAAACTGGGAGTGGTGGTGCACACCTGTAATCCCAGTGTTGGGGAGGCTGAGACAGGAGGATCACTACAAGTCCAATCTGCTAGTGAAACTCTGTACAAATGCATTAAAAAAAAAAACCTTTAAAGTATTTTTGACAACAAAAGGCACACATATAGATAAGGAAAATAACTGACTATGAGAAATAGAGAATTTTAAGAAACAAAAATTTTAGTCTAGTTTTACTAGATTTTCCTAGAGCAAGTTTTTATTTTAATTTGTAGGACACTCCATGTGTCTCAGTAATTTTTACAACCCCTTTCAATGATAAAAGTTGGCTAACATTTCTTTCAAAGGTTTAGAAGTGGAATAGGATGTTTTTGTTATGGTTAGATTATTTAATTCTTTGATGTTTCCTTATTACTGATGATTTTTCCATCATTAAATTATCCCAGCCTTGAACAACTATGATTTTTTTTAACCTCTTCACTCTTTTTCTATCAAGAATTCCTAGCTTTATGTACAGTTGTATATAAGCAGTACCACATTTGTTTAAAAAGTAAATTCTGACATGTCAGACCCACTAACAATTGGAAACTAACAGAAAATAATGATGCAAAATCTACCACTAGGGCCAGGGATATAACTCAGCAGTGTAAGTGCCTGCCTTGCAAATGCAAGGTCCTGAGTTCAAGCCCTGGTACCGCAAAAACAAAACAAACAAATCTACCACTATGAGACTAATTTCTGTGGTCATAAAAGTGAAAATAACAAATGTATTCTTTTCAGACTAAACTTGTATTAAACTCAAAGTTCCCCCCAAATTATAAAAATAATAAATATTTTGCATAGTTTCTTCTACATTTATGCAGGTATGGTTAACTAAATTACGAAAATGTTTTACTTACTCGTACACCTTTAGGACCTGGACTACCTTCTGGCCCAGCTAAGCCCTAGAGGAACAAAAGACAATGTTATCACACTGCAAGGCTTTTGAAAGTATTGTTTATAATTTATTAAGTATAGAGTATTATGTTTAAAACTGTAAAATTCAGCTCACTATACCTAATAAAGATTACAAATGTTCAAGGTATTTTAGGACTTCAGAACCAAGGAAACCTTGGGTATATTTCAATTACAAACATACTTTACTTATGTAAATATAGTACATTAAGACATTATTGCTAATAAAGCAATTTTTTCATGGAAATATTTCTTATTAGAAAACTATCTGTGTTTGGGGCTGGGGAATTGGCTAAGTAGAATAAGTACTTCCTAGTTCAATCCCCACTTCTGCAAAAAAAAAAAAAAAGAAAAAAGAAAAAGAAAACCATCTGTGTTGTTTTAGAATAGGTCTAACTAGGTAATTCTAAACTATAGTCCCATAATTTTTTAAACAATACGAATACTTTTGAAACTTTTAATCAATGTCCATATGCCTAAGTATTCATATACTGTTTTTCAGATAATACGTGTATCATTCATTGAGGAGAGTATAAACACAATACCTCCAAATATTTTTAAAGGCCCAGAAAATGGAGTTTTATCAACAAGAGATCATTTCTTTTTTGCCTTGTATATTCTCCTCATTCTTGAGGATAGAAAACATATTATTACAATTTCAGAAATAATTTATGAGGTTCTAATAAGGAAAGCACTCTACTGTTATTCTACATAAAGGGAAGAAAATTAGAAATTAGAGGAGGAAAGTTCTGAAATGATAAGAGTAAACTTTCAAAATAGTATAGAAAGAACGGAATTTGGTTCAGGTAAAAGCATTTGGAAGTAGTGTGTGTGGCACCGCCAACTATTTCCATGCTTTTTATGACTTATTTTACAATAATGCTTATTACAGAGTCTCAACTCCTACTATTATTTCAGTCAACGGCAGTATTTTAAAATTAGCACTGCGCTGTTCTAAGATCTTATTAGACTGTTGGGTATTTTAATGTTGACAGTCATACCGCGTGTCACATCAAACATGTTTAAAAGTCCCACTCCTGTTTTCATACAAGACTTCATTCAGTAAACATTTTAAAGGAATTTTACAGCTTTTATTTTGAAATTATTGAGAACATAGTTAACAAAGAGGAATGTAAAGTAAGTGTGAATACAGTTACTGCACCTGCCTGCCAGGATAACCAGGTGAGCCCATACTACCGGCGAATCCCGGAATGCCCTGAAATGAAAAAGAAAATGGATAAAGCAATATATCAAAACTAAAGAAAACCCAAAGCAACAATTTTCCAATTTTGAAAAGAATTTTCCCCCATAAAATTAAAGTCCTGCAAGTTGCTTATTTGACCGAAATCACTAGTTGAAGGCAAATGAGCCAAAATTGCTTAAAAACAAAAATAAAAACAAAACATTAGAAAGCCATTCTATTAGGGCACTACATGAAACAGTCATCATTAATAATGGCAAGTGTAGGATGCAAAAATCCAGTGTTATATGACTAAAGAACTCTTGTTACCAAGAAAGAGCGTATATATTTCTTAACACCTACTATTTCTTTTGAATTTATTATAGGCTCAATCATCCTGTAGTAACCTTTAACATGACCCCCAAGTAAATTTCAAGATCATTTCTTTGTGTCTAAGATGAATGTAATCTTATATCAAATCCAATTAAGTAAATGAATATTAATAAATACCTACCATGACATAGATATGAATTCCATATCATAAATGTGGGTAATGGCAAGAACTGAATATTTGTGTGGTCCCCCAAGTACACATATTGAAATCCTAGTCCTGTGGTCATGTCTAAAGACATCAGAAGGTGGAGAATTTGGGATGCAACTTAGATCATGTGGGTGGAACCTTTCTGAATGGAATTATTGCACTTATAAGACCAGGAAGCTAGCTAGCTTTCTTTCCACCATAGGAGAATACAAGAAGTTAGCAGTTTATAACCAAGAAGTCTTCATCAGAACTTGACCACGTTGTACACTGATCTGAGACTTCTCAGCCTCCAGAATACTGAGGAATAAATTTCTCTTGCCATTCATCTATGGCATTTTGCTATAGAAATCCAAATTGATTTAGACAGACAGTAAATTCATTTGGGATTGACTACTTTGTACTCTTGATTTAAAGCAAGATTTGTTTAAGGAAAGCTGTGCTATACAGCTGGATGGAAAATTAAGATTAAAACATTTTCTATTTTCTTTCATTGATACATTATTCATTTGTTAATATATTTAGACTTTAGGTCTATTACATAATTCTCACAAAGAAACTCTGGGAGAATATGTGTTAAGCTACCTTTATTTAACTTCAAGTGGTAGCAATCACAAGTTTTCTAATTCCATATTTATTATGTAAAATTAATTTTCCACCTATAATTTGTCAAAGAAACTAATCTTTGTCGCCCTGCTCTGATGCTGATGGAAGTGTTATCTGCAGTTTAAATCTAGAAATCACAAAATCTTCTAATTGCCTGTGCCAATAGAAAAGAGCGTAACAAATTTCAGAGGCCATTTTTATTCTATAGGTCACTATCTGTCTGGCTAATGCCAACCACTGTCTCATGCTATTCTTTTCCTAGCCAAATTATGTTAACAGACCGCAAAGAAAAGCAAATCTGTTAGGGGGCATAAACACTGTCATATTTCAAATGAGCTTTCAGGGGCCAGGGAGATAGCTCAGTAGAATGAGCGCTTGCCTGGCAAGTGCAAAGTCCTGAGTTCAATCCCCAGTTCTGCCAAAATCAATCAATCAATCAGTCAATCAATCAATCAAAGCAATGGGCTTTCACCTGTAAAGATCTACCACATTCCAGCTATGTAAAGAAAAATATAAAAGTTCTGCTGTACTAGAATAGTATTAAACAGAGTGAACGTGTAAGTATTCTGCAGTCTCTGTGTGACCTAACTATATTACAAGCCATCCACACACCAAAATCACTTCAACTACCACAGAAACTCAAATAAAACTCAAAACACCATGACTCAGTTCACTTTACACTTGAAAATATTAAAAATTAAGTTTGCTTGCTCATTCAACTCTAAATTGAATGAAAGAACAAAGATACAATTGCATGTCTAGCCTCTTAGTAAATTAAGATCAGGAAATTAGCAAGAATGTCCCCATTTCATTTCTCACTCTAAGCATCGAACTCTCCATGCTGAGTTGGTCATATTCCATTCAGATTTTCAAGACTCCTCCTAGGGGTCTTTTCTCTATGTACCTCAATTATTCTCATTAATAGAATAGAATAATAATAAATTTATTGGGTGAAGAAAGTAGAACAATTATGTAAGAATATTTTAAAAAGTAAAGGTAACTAACATATGCTAACTGTTGCTGAATATTATTAGTTAAAATATATAAAATAGTGAATAAATAACTATAGTACTGAAAGTTATATTTAGCAGTAACATAGTCCGGCCAATAAGAAAGGCTTAAACTGTTTTTATTACTAGAACTTACACTGATGACATCAATGTCTTTCCAAATGTTTGATGGTCTATTTTAAAATTTATTTTCCAAAAGTGAATGCCTTGTAGTGCACCAGTTATGCTCCTTAGAATGTCCACAGTGTTTTCATAGTAAAAGTGCAAAATTATTTTTATTCTTCTAGGTAAATACAATTTTTGACTCTTCCTTTTTAGAAACAGAATAGAAAGCAAGCATTAATCCCAAAATCTAGTTTGCAATGCTTAAAACCAAATTTAAAACTCTTGTAAAAAGTAACCTAGTCCTAGAGTAATAAGATGCACACTAATGAGGCAGGGTAACAGAGAAACTGTGAGAGAACGGGTCAGTACAGACACAGGCCAGTGATTCACTGACTTGCGAATTATCCAGTTTCTTTTCTTGGAATCCACACATTTCTGCCAAGGAAGTATTCTAGGAATCTTTTTTTCCTTCTTAAGGACTAATTTCTGCTGTTCTTCTCATATTTTTCCCTCATGAATCTTCAAATGCTTTTTTTTTTAGCCTTGTTTGATCTTCAGGAAATTAATATTGAACTTTACACATATGTTGGTTCGCTTGCCACGTTTAGTAATTAGCAATTGTGAAAAATTGCATCTGGGAGATGGCCACAGTGTATTTTCACACTTAGTGTGAGTGAAAAAGAACATTGGCTTTGTTTCTTCACTTGTATTATTCCTTTAGGAACCAACTATCACCTCCTAAAGTTGCCTTTCAGGCCCCAAGAGGCTCTTTGTAAAATCTTTAATAATAACATATACCAAATTAGTTCTACATTCCTATTTGTCTGTTTTATTCATACTGGCTTAAAATATCCTGTACTGAAAAGAAAAGATATGACTCTATCTCATTATGAAAGATAATCAATAACATGATTGTCTTAGTTACTCTTCTCTCGTTGCTGGGACAAATACCCGACACTCAAAATGAAGGAAGGAAAGGTTTATTTAGCTCACAGTTACTGGAGGTTTCAGTCCATACTCAGCTGGGTCCAACGCAGAGCAGCACATAGCAG